TGAAAATATTACACGGCATCTTGAAAGCTCCAACTAGGTAATTCTGCAAGGAAAGAAATACATAAACAAGCTTTTTCACTTAACGATCATTGAGAAAGTGAAAAGGAAGAAAGAAGCAATTTCCTAAGAAATTGATAGTTTAATACCATGACACTTCAGTGAGCCCTGAATCAAGACTTTTGCTTAAAATTAAGGACCTAGAAGTAGTAACATAAATCATTGGAAATTTGAAATCGATTTACAAAATGTTTTACAAATTTAGACAGAAAAAGAAATAGACAAAATTAAAGTTCTAATCAGATTCCAAATTTGACCATTTTCTTACCTTTCCTGGGGAAGCCTTAGGACCGAAATCAGATCATAAAAATAAGAAAAGTGTAGGGGTAAAATACCTTAGCTAGGGATCTAAGAGAAGAGGAAGTGTTGATTGTTGAATGGAGATCATCTGAGCCTTAGGAATATTTGGCTGGTGGTGTCGTGTTCCATAGCTTTAGATCGGGGTAAATAAAAAGAATGGGTTAGAATATAACCAACTGCTTGGTAGTGTATAGGTTAGGATTAGAGATTTACCAGTTGAGTCCCGTGGTGGTCGGAGTTGGATTTGGCCACCCGCGTGTGATGACCGATGTAGAAAGCTTCGAGCTTTCTCGGTCGCTGATAGAGATGAGGATAGTAGGGAAATAAAGTGGTTTATTTGGGTAGTTTGAAACCTAAAGGGTAGAAGTTTTCGATCTGGTTTACCCTATTATATTAGGGTCTTCACCGGAGAAGAAAAGGACCATCATGTTGAGAGTGGCGCCGTGTGTGCGTGAGAGGGAGAGATGGGATTAAAAGAGCTGCCAAGAGAGACTGTTGAAGAATAAAGGGGTTGTGCAGCTGTGTTTGGTATTTTGTGTGAGTGAGTTTAATTTAGGTTTAGTTAAATTTAGGTTTCATATTAATGTTTTGGTAAATTAAGTTATAGTCCCCCAAACTTGAGCACCCTTTTGTAAATCCCTAATTTAATTCTTGATTTGTATGTTGAATTTTACGTTTATTTAAATTTAGTCATTAGTTTAATGTATATGCATGTTTAATAAATTTATAGTTTGGTATGTTATATTTTAATTTTTGTATTTCAATCACATTTGTTTAAATTTTCTTATTTGTTTTAAATGTTCAGGTGTCATTTATGTTATTTTCCATATTATTTTAGGTTAAACCGAATACGATCAATTGCTTATAAGACCCTATAGTTTATGCGCATTTTGTATTTAAGTCATTGGTTTAATTCCAATTTTGTAAGTTTAATTTTACATTTACTTGCATTTAATCATCATTATAAAGTTAGTATATTTAGCTTAAATTAGTCCTCACATTTAGATTTCTCTTAATTTAGTCCATGTTTAGGATTGTTTTCTTTAATTAGTTGTGTATATTTATTTGCATGTATGTTTATGTATAAGTATGTAATTGATTTATTTAGGAGTCACATAATATCATTTTGCATAATTTGTATGTTACCTTCATGTGCATAACTTAACCCCTATCACATAATCAGATTTATGGTTTAGGGTTTATAGTTTAGGGTTTATAGCTTAGGGTTTAGGATTCATTGCAAATAAATTAATTAATCGACTTGGTACCAATTTATGAAGTAAGTATAATTTATGGTTTAGGGTTCATTGCAATGACATTAATTAAAATTTGAGGGTAGTTGTATTATAGAATTTTTAATATATTTTTAAAATTTTATAATTATCAATAGTGTATTTTTAATATATTTTTAATAATGTAATTTTAAAAAATCTAAAATTATAATATAACATTTTTTTCGAGCTGCTCACGAGCTTTTCGAGTCGAATATCAAGTATCTCGTTTCGGCTCGTTAAGAACTCGAGTCGAGCTCGAGCTCGATCCATTCGATCCAAGTATTTATCGAGCCTTGATCGAGTCGATCTCGAGTAGCTCGCGATCTGTCTCGTCTCATTTACAACCCTACCTCTAACCTATAATGGTTTACTGTCCTATAAAATTAAGTCAGAAAGCTTTAAGAGTAGTTTCAAGCATAACATATTGTTTAGTAACAATAACAACTATTGGAGCAATAACAATAACAGACCATGCATAAGCCCTTCATGAACTACTCTGATCTCTCTTTTAGGTTACATAAGGGGATCTTCTCATTACATCCATAACTAGACTAAAAATAACCTTAGAAAATGATTTCTCTATGTCGTCTTATGTCTCCTATCAACGATTTCTACGTTGTGTCAAGAATTACGAGGATTAAGGGTATAAAAGAGATTTTTTTGTCACAGGGTTTTCTTCTTTTATTTCTCTTTTCTCTTTCGATTTTTTTAGAAAATAATAAACTCTCTTGTTATCTCGAGAGTTTTACTCGTTCATCCTTTTCGGTCATCAAGATTAGCGACTATTCAAATTAGAAGGGATGAACTACTACCAACATTCACAACTATCATCTCCCCTTTATACATAAAAAAGAATCAATTTTAATGTCAATTTTTTTCGGTAGTTTTGTTGTGCGGTGCATGAACCCTAAAGTAATTTGCAACATGTTTAACCTAAAATGTTATTATATCTATTCTAAAAAGTTACACAATTTATTAATGATTTTGATTACAATAGAATGTTATATTAGGACTAGTTTTACCCAAAAATGTTATCTTGTCTACTCTAAAAGTTAGATAATTTACAACTATATTGTTACAGCCAAGAATATTATATTAGTTTGAGTGATTACAATATATTATTTGTTCGAAGCACTCCCAACCATTCTCCCTAAAAAAATTAATAATAACAATCATCCCTATAACACATAAAAGTTAAGAGTAAACTACACAATTCTTCACTGAATTTTAATCTCATATTTCAGTTACCGTACATTTAATTTTTCAATTACTCATTAAACTTTCTAATTGTTCATGTTTTGGTCACTCTGAATTATTTTATTATTATTTTGATATGAAGTGGAAATTTTATTATTATTTAATATAAAAAATAATTTAAAATATAAAAATTAAAATCGGATGGTGGTCGTCCACTATTGTTGAACACCACCATTAATGACCCTAAAAGGTGGTCGTTTAGTACCAGATTTCATCGACCATTTCGTCATGATCCCCTAAGTTTGAATCTGACCTTTATTTTGTCGGAACATGCTCCAAACTCGATCAAAAGTGAGGAAAACGAAACGTCGGTCACCGTAGATGGTTGTCGTTCAGTCCCAGATTTTATCGGTCGCTTCACGTCAGCTCCCTGAGTTCGAATCTGACCTCCATTTTATCAGAATATGCCCCGAAGTCCACGAATAGGAGATTGAAGGTGAGGAAACCAAAATATTTCAGTCCAAAATCACAAGTTTTGGGATATTTTTCAATGAAACAACCATCAAATTCAGACTCAACGTGTCAAATTGAGAATCTGAGCATAATTTGAGATCAAATGGAATTTTTTATTAATATAAAAATAATTTAAAATATAAAATTAAAATCGGATGGTGGTTGTCCATTGTTTGCCGTTGTTGAACACCACCATCGATAGCCTAAAAGGTGGTCGTTCAGTACCATATTTCATCGACCATTTCGTCTCGATCCCCTGAGTTCGAATCTGATCTTTATTTTGTCGGATCATGCTCCAAACTCGATCAAAAGTAAAGAAAACGAAATGTCGCTCACCGTAGATTATGGTCGTTCGGTCCCAGATTTTATCGGTCGCTTCGCCTCGGCTCCCTGAGTTCAAATCTGACCTCCATTTTGTCAGAACATGCCCCGAAGTCCATGAATAGGAGATTGAATGTGAGGAAACCAAAATATTTTAGTCTAGAATCACAAGTTTGGGACATTTTTCAACAAAACAACCATCAAATTCAGACTCAATGTCAAATTGAGTCTCTCAGCTTAATTTGAGATCAAATGAATATCGGTTCCGAAGGCCGACGGTGGTTGACGGTGACGAGAAGGGATGATGATTATTTTAAAGATTTTTAAAAATTTATTATTTTTATTTAAAAATTATTTTTTATTTATTTTAAATTATTTTATTTTAATTATGATAAAAAAATTCCATGTCATAAAATAATAATAAAAATAATTTAGAATGACTAAATAGAAGCAATTTGAAAATTCAGTGAGTAAATAGGAAAAAATGAACATATAGTGAATAAAATAGGAGAAAGAGTAAAGTTTATTGATGAATAGTATAGTTTACCGAAAAGTTAAATACTTAGTCAACTCGTCGCACATTGACAAGTGGCTACTAGGGTTTTTCCTTGCATTATAAACACCCTTTTCGCTGAGCAGTTTCATCCACTCATGGGCTTCGGCAAAATCTCGTCTCCCGAAAATTAGACATTTTCCCCACTGAATTGCAGCGTTTATGAACATTATTTTGTGTACCAGAGGAGTCTCCGGTGACGGTCACACAATCCCTCTAAGAAGTTCTGAGCTTGCACTTTTCCTATTTTATTTTAATTTTTTGGCTGATTTTGTTAAAATGAAATTTCTTAGATCCTTTGCCCCCTTGGGGGAAAGAATTAAAAACGATGTGATGATAGAAATTCAATGGTCTGTCAATCCACTGATCTTATTTGATGTTACATTGAAGTTCCGACAGGTTATGATCGTTTTTAATTCCTTCCTTCTTTTATATTTCTTAGATAATCATTTTAGGATTTTAAGTTTTTTCCTACTGAAATTATATCTTGGGCGTGTGATGAATCTATTGTTGTAATGGGTAATTTGCGTCTGAATTAGTATTTCATGATGCTAAACACATTGGAGAACTGATGTCCACTCTTTCCGTGCGTTTGGAAAAATTATGATCTTGTGCTTATTTCTTTGGATTCCTTCGTCACTAAAGTTATGAAGGTTATGGACAATCTGGTTTTGATTACATTTTTAAATTATTAGTTTACTTTTTGTTTGCCAATTCATTTAAAGATTTTCTTTTTAATTAGTTTTTATTTATAAACTCAACTGTTTTTCGGCCATGTTTATGGTTTTAGGCAACTGATGATTTCCTATATGTAATGGGTAATTTGCGTCTGATAATTGATAATGATGCTATCACCTTGGAGATCTGATGCCATTTTCTTTGTATTACTTCTTTGACAGTTTATGTGCTTTTTCTTTTCTTTTTGAATTTGCGTTCTTGGTTCATCATTGGGTTCCAGGTTCTATATCTTAGATTTGAGTTAATGATTCAGTGTGTATCTTCAAGACGATATGTGATTTTTCGTCAGATATGCTTTAAATACTTATTCATCAGCGACATCAGTCGTAATACACAAGGCTTGTTTATGATATATTTCTTTGTTCCTGATGTTACGGATCACTAATCATGCAAGTTTAAGAATTGCACAGCCCATAATTTATGCTTTTTATTATATGTTTCCAATGCTTCACTGTGAAATGACTAAAGCAAAATCCATAATGTAAGACTGCAAGTTCAATTTGAGAATAATAAACATTAAAATTTCCTTGGACCAATCCTTTTTGTGGCCATTTTGAAACTGGAAATGACGATAACAAAAGTTGCGTTAAGTACACTTATCGTAGAAAGAGTTGATTAACTCGACAACGATTCTGAATTTAGAGCATCATTTTTTTTATCATACATTTCCCATCAAGTTTTCTGGTCATCTTCAACCTCAGGAACTCCTCGAGTGGTAAAGTCCTATACAGTGCCTTGTTCGTCATAACAAGATCAGGCAAAGGACCAATCTGGGTACCGTTTTTCGGATTACGAAATGCTGCAATCGACAGCTGCTCTTTAGCTGGATTAACCACAGCTCTATGTTCTATGCTTTTATATTCTCCATTGCTCAGAATCTGCATTTGTAACGCCTCTTTAGTCTTTGGTAAGACACATTACATTATACGATACTTCAAGTCTATTAAATATTTGTTATTACCTCAAGCATGTCTCCAATATTGATGATGAATGCCCCAGGCATGAGTTTAACTGGCACCCATTTCTCGTTTCTCTTGATCTGTAATCTTTCAACTTCATTCACTTAAGTCAGGAGTGTTAAACCTGTAGCATCAGAGTGTGGTGCTAGAGCAAAAACCTTGCTTGCCCCTGCACAAGGTGGATAATAGTTCATTCTTACTCCTTGTATTCCGTCCTCGAAAAAGCTCGCAAGCATCTCAGGATCTATCCCATGGTTCTTGGCAAACAGCTTCATCAGATGTATCATAACCTTATGTGACTCCATTGATTACTTATCAAAAGTTTCTCTGAAAGCAGCACAAATTGATCAGACAATCCATGGTATATACCCAATTATAGTGATGAAGTTGAAGGATCATTACCTGAATGAAGGGGGATTGGTTGGCCAGAATCTCATAGTTCTTAAGGGCACAGGCAGGGCAAAAAGGAAGAGCATATCCTCCCAATCAAGCTTCTGTTCTTCTGATACAACAAAGGCTTGACCATAGCCTTCAATGTGATTTGGTATCTGTGCACAAGCCATCTTCCCCTCCAAAGGCAAGTTGAAGAAGTCTTGTGTGTCCATCTTCATTTTCTCAATCACTTCATCTTCTACCCCATGATTCATCAATGCTTCACTCATCCATAAAAGCTAACTGGGTAAAAAAAAACAAGAAAGTCCTGTTGATTTAGAATTGTGTTTAGATTAGGTACCTGGAAGAAACCCCAGTCCTTGCAAACCAAATGAAATTTTTCCCGTTCATCGTCGTCGTCATCATCATCTAGTTTGCTCATGTCAATTACAGGAACCTGCAGGGATTCATCAACAGAGACTACGTCTAATTTAACCTCTGGTCTAATGTATCTGGACGGAACGTTCTTGAGGTTCTTGGATGCAAGAGCTTGGACGTTCTCAACAGGTAAAGAACCAAACTGCAGCACCTTTGTTTCCATCGCTGTAAATTTTGATGTGATCTGGTACAACACTCTCAAATTCTGATCTGAGGAAATTTTAGTTTATGTTTTATATGCTTAACAGTGACTACATTGTCACGGTAATGCGTTACTTAGAGCGTCCTTTGACTGTTGTTTATCCTTTTAATTTCTAAAATACAAATACCACCTAATTCTGTCTTTTTGTACGAATTATTGAAAACTATATCCATCTTTCAATTGTTATCTTCAATGCTTTCTGTCACCTCCTGGGATATGATCATTGGAAATCCATAATATGATAACAAGATTTTAAAAAAGCAAATAAAAAGGGATGGACCTATTTTCCCAAATGCAAAGGTGTCTAGCAAAATAGGTCTGCATGCTTTTAAGAAATGTGCTATCAAATCTAACTATTGACATAGTACTTTTGCATATAGATTCATGTTTTTGCATAACCATTTCATATGTAAGTCTAGAGATATTTTTTTGAGAATATTTTATTTTAAATAAATTTAGCGTACGTGTTGATATACAATTAGATGAATATGTTTCTTCTTCTAGTATAAATGATGTATATTCTTAATGATGATGCCGAACCTAAGAGAAGTCAAACAAAGGGCTTCACTAGTTTCAGACCTAATTTTTTTACTTCTTTTGTAGCTGAAAGCAGTGATTTAGATTTGATAAGAAATTATTTCTCATGTATTTTTATGGATGACGATCCAAAATCCCATGATAACGACATAAAATCAATACATACTAGTTTTTAGAGGGTGACCATTACTAATGATTGTGTCTAATAATACTTGGGGACTAGTTAACTTGTAAAGAAATTTTAAACCTATCAGTAATAAATGAGTCTTTTCAAAGAAACATAGACTAGACGAGTCAATACAATAGTCTAAGGCAAAACTAATAGTAAAGGGTTCACTAAAAATTTAGAGTAGATTATTTCGATACATACATTAATGTGACTAAGATCTCAATAATTTAGACTAGTTTCTATTCATTTAATTCTTAATGCATCAAATAAATATAAAATAATTTTCTTCATGAGAACTTAGACGATTCAGGAAAAGAAGTATATTTTAAGAACATAAGTCTCTGATGATCTATAATAGTTACTTGTTTAGTTTAGTTTAATTATTATAACAATTACAATGACCAAATCGAAAAAGACCGTTAAGTCATAAATTTATATATATATATATATATATTATACTAACTTTTTATCTTTGTGACCTATATTATTTATAAGTTTATCTTTTGTTCGATTTTAAATTTTACAGATCGACACATTTTAGAACTAAAATTGAGGATTTTTGATGTATTTTGGACATCTATCTCTATTTATAATAGATTGTGATAAATAAAAAAGAAATAATCTATAATTTAAATTTCATCCCTTCTCCTATTTGACAGGGATGGTCACTATTATATAAATTATCATTAGGAGTAGATGAGACATCTTTCTCAAACATTATTTCTTTATTAGTTTTTCTTTTCTTTTCTTTTCTTTTCTTTTCTTTCTTTATTATTTTGAGATTTTTAATTTAAGAATGCGAGATTTTCTGATCATTTTTTTAATATTTTTATATCTTCGTTTTATTTGTTAAATATTGATTTGTGAATTACATGAACTGATCAATTTATATAATATGAGATCTTTATGTTTTTAATTAAAATAATATAGGAATGTGTTACGAAGTGCAAGATATAATTTGAATATTTCACACTGTGGAGTTAATTAGGGTTAAGTCTCTTCCATTCATAAATTGTTGGTAAGATTAAATCCTAGACTCTTAATAAAAAAAAGAGAAGTAATTATTCGAGTGTCTCTTTGATTACCGAGAAGCAAAGAAGAAATTAAATTATTAGAGCATCCCGAGTAACTTACAAATCTATTTAAAGAATTTAGATAATTCTACGTAAAATCAGTGATTGAATTGTGAATTAAATTTTGTTAAGGACTTATGAGATCATTTGACTTAGTGGAAGAATATTAGAATTTGCAATCTTTAACCACATGAAATTGAGATTTGAATATGTAAGTATAATGACCAAGTGATATCTCTCATAATCAAGAATTATTAAATATTATGTAAAGAGTCCTTGATCCCTCTTTCCGGTTAACCTAAGTTAGAATTATTAGCTTTATTGGTTGTAAAATTAGTTAAAAATTCTTAATTTTAACAACTCTAATTCCATGAATCTATTTAAATATAGATTTCACGAAAGATAGACATTTTATTCCGAGCTGATGACTTAACCAAGATTCTGAACTAGAGCTTCATTTTATTTATCATAATTTCCCATCAAGTTTGCTGCCCAGCTTCAGTCTCATGAACTCCTCAAGTGGTACAGTCTTAAACAGTGGCTTGTTCGTCTTAACAAGATCTGGCAAAGGGCCAACTGGGTACCAACATTTGGATTGTGAAATGATGCAATTGACAGACGCTCTTTCTCCGGATTAACCACCACTCTATGTTCTATGCTTTTATATTCCCCATTGCTCATAATCTGCATTCCACGTTACATATGCAATCCGTCATGTCTAAAAGTCTATGTAGCTTCAAATAGGCATAAGGTTAAATTCATTCTTAATGTTTGATTACATGTGTTGAAAGTGATAATGTGACACATATCTAGGTAGAAATTGATGACATGTCGGAGGGGGAAAACGTGGTAATCTCACGTCAGTGACAAGCGTTAACCGTTAATGATTTTGATCTAACCACAAGTCATTTTGCTCCAAAATAAAACTTCGAGCGTCAAAGTGTTTTAAAAGAAATAGGAACCAAAATAACTATTTAGTAGAATGTTATAGATATTTTTTAGGCTTGGAATAGTTGTTATATTACCTCCATCATGTCTCCGATATTGATGATGAATGCGCCGGGGATGGGTTTAACAGGCACCCATTTATCGTTTCGCTTTATTTGTAATCCTTCAACTTCGTTGATTTGAAGCAAGAGTGTTAAGCCTGTGGCATTAGAGTGTGGTGCTACACCGTATACCTTGCTTGCCTCGGCACATGGTGTTGCGGAAGACGACTATCGGATAGAGAAAAATTGCAACTGATAATTTGAGAAAATAAAAATGAAGATAAAGAAGACACAAAATTTACGTGGAAAACCCCTAAATAATATAGGGTAAAAACCACGGTCAACGATAGAAGAATTTCACTATGAGAAAATAGGAATTACAACCTCTCTCGGTCTACCAAGGAGAAAACAATGATAATTCTCTCTTGATAAAAAGGAGGAAACAACTATCAAGAAACTTTCTAAATTCTCTCTAGTATTGGAAGAAAGCTAGAATGCTTTGGGATGGTTTTGAAGCTAAATGAGCTAGGGTATTTATAGTTGAAGCTTAAGGACTAATTTGTAAATACCCTAAATTACAATGACTAAAATATACAATTATACCATTGCTAATTTTCAACAATTAGCCAACCCTTTTTGACATTTTGTTTTTCGATGGATTTTCAACAATCTCCCACTTGAAGATTTGATTGGAACAATCATATCTTCACATCATTCTTTCTACCTTGTACCTTCATGTTGCTTACGTCTCTGAAAGGCCACAAGAGGATCGACACCAAGTAAATTTATCGGCATTGATCGCCTTCGTCATGAAATCTGCTATGTTGTCTTTGATATGGATCTTCTGCATATCTACCGTTCCTTCTTCCACCTTTTCACGAATGAAATGGTATTGAACTCGTATGTGCTTTGTCCTTGAATGAAATGTTGGATTCCTTGCTAGATGCAAGGCGCTTTGACTGTCACAAAACAGAGAGACAACTCTTGATTGTGCCCAAGCTCTCCAATAGCATCTTCAACCAAATTGCTTCTTTACTAGCTTGTGTAGCTGCTACATATTCTACCTCTGTTGTGGATGTAGCCACAACTGACTGCAACTTAGAAACCCAACTTACAGCTCCATCAGCAACTTTGAACACATATCCTATTGTAGATTTGCTTTTATCCAAATCCCCTGCATAGTCAGAATCTACATACCCATTGATTAGTAAGTTTGAACCTCCGTAACATAATGCAACATTTGAGGTCCCTTTGATGTATTTCAGGATCCTCTTTACTGTATTCCAATGCTCTTTGCCTGGATTCGCCATGTACCGACTAACCACTCCCACTGCTTGTGCAATGTCTGGTCTTGTGCATATCATAGCGAACATTAAACTTCCCACTGCTGATGCATACAGTACTCGAGACATCTCCATCCTCTCTTCTTCACTGCTAGGACTCATACTAGAGGATAATTTGAAGTTAATAGGAAGAGGGGTAGAAATTGGCTTACAATCTTGCATGCTAAATCGTGACAGATCTTCTTCAAGTATTTTTTTGTGAAAGCCAAATCTTTCAATTACTTCTGTCTCGGTGAATTTGCATCCCTAGAATCTTGTTTGCTGATCCCAAGTCTTCATTTCAAATTCCCTAGCAGTTGCCTTCAATTCGTCAATATGATCTTTGTTGGT